ATATATCATTTACCGCTCAACACAGGCTATCCAGTTAAGTAGAATTTCTTTCTTGTATAAAATCATTGAAAATTCAGAAAAGTTATAAATAATCTATGTACCAAATATTGTTTAATATGATGTGCTTAGTTCTATATAATATACAGTTTATTAAATAAATAAAGAGAAACCATTTTTATAATTTATTGATATTTTGCGCTACTTTTGTTTAGAGATATGTACATCAATTTGGATAATATTTTATTGGAATGTAAACAACTATATATACTCTCATAAGGAATTATGATTCTTTGAAATGATTAACCTCTAGCCAGTTGGCTATATTTTTTTTCCTATATAATACACATTTCTGATCATTATGAAATTGGATAATTTGATTTTTTTAAAAACCTTTTACCAAAGAAAAGTCAATTCGAATGCTGATTATATGCCTTTTACTTTTCGGTGCATCTTTTAACACACGTAAAAAGCGAAAGATAACAAATTAATATAAAAACATGTGAAAAAAACTAGTAGTAATAATTATTTAGCTCAATGTTTTGCAACATGCTTTCCAAACGGGAGACACTGTTTTCCTCTTCTCTTTATTTAACTTTTTTTTAGGGGGATAAATTTACAGAAAATAAATTCCTCCAAAAAGGCCACGAGATGTTTTCTTTTTCTTTCTAATATACATATTGTCATTAGATGTATATTAAAAAGACTACGATGTATACATTGTTAATGTAACACTGTCCAGCGAAAGAGAAATAGCCTTTAGAGATAATTTTATTGTTATCTCATGTAAATTGACTCTTTCACTCAACTTATTACAAACTTCGATACACAAAAAAGAGAAGAAGAAGTGTTCGATAAAATAACGAAGAGGAAAACGTAAGCGAGTAAAGGCCCATAACTGCGATACCGATTTTTGCCCAAAATATATAACATGAAGTTAGAGCATGTTTTATTATATGAACATCGCTCTACTTCTAGATATCGGGCCAATTCCAGATCAAGTTTTAAAAAGATATTACATATGTTAGGTCCGAACATGAAACAAATTTAAAATAGTGTCCCCCCGTTTTTCTTTTTCTTGTTCTTCTCATGGAGTCTCATCAAATAAATTGCTTGGGCCGGGCCGTACTCTGAGTAAAATATGTTTAACCAAATATATCGAAGAGGGTTCAATGATTTTATCCGGATTTGGATTTAAAATTGCATTTTTGTTCTGACTCAGGATCGGGTTCTGAACAGAAGTGATAGGTACCATTTTTTATTATTATTCTATTGTAACTAAAATGCAATATTACATGCGACTGATTCGTTGCACTTGCATAGCGACAACATCAGAGAATGTCGCAAAACAAAATAGCCTGGTATTGAATCTAAAGAATAATAATGTTACTTGCTATGCGTGATTAAATATTGCCTTTGATTGCAAGTCATGCCAAATAATTCATAGGAAAAGTTACTAGTGGGAGTCACGTCTCCAGTACAATGATTATGAAATCAAGATACTTTGGAAATCCTCGTGTTGATTCTTTTTTGTATAATCAACAAATCACACGATTTGAGAATGGTTGTCGCACAATTTAAAATCGATTGTAAACCCTATATATAAAACTAACCAGTTGAAACGTTCTTAAGATTCGAGTTCCAGCCAATCTTTACATTTGGCTTTATAAGATTCTAGGTCATAGAAGTCAATATTCTTTTCACAATTACTATTGCATTCTTTTTCCAAAGTTACGAGTTTATGGGCAAATGTAACATATTCTATCGTGACAGCGACGTACCATGCATGATAAATATTCCTTCCTTTTTTAAAAATTACCAGAGTTCCTGTTAAGCTACCAAATCACCACAGCACGTATAGGTTCAAGCAGAATCTTTAACAAAGCCCTCTTTAAAATGTCAGAGTTACGCCATGATTTTGTTTCAAATATTATTTGTTGAGTAATTATTTTGTTTATATATGAATCATATGATGCTAACACTTTAATTTTAGATATTGGATCAGTCTTGAGAAAACAAGGTTTAAATTTTAAGCTAATACTACATATTAAAAAAGAAAACACACACATTTTACTATTTTAGACATTTCATTCATGCATGTATATGTGAAATATCCTCTGATCAGTTCGACCCGCAAATGCAAACCATTCAATTGTTCAAACCCTAAGGAGAAACTTGATGACTTGGTGGGTTTTTGCTTTTGTACATGTCGACGTAACATAAAACAATTTATACCTAAAGAAAAGAGAAAAAATCGACAATAAGACTTTGGACCCGATCAATACTCAAAAGCCAACTTACCTAACCAAATCTGTGTGTACCGCGTTACTTTCAAATAACAAATAACTGAAAAAAGAACTACAATTAAGACTTTGGATAAGACTTAAGTGTTTCAAACTTTCAATAATAAAATAAAGATAAGGTAATGGAACCCACAACCAAGATTTTTTCGATGTCGGCAATGAAATTTATGGCGACGTGGCAACAACTGGACAACGGCTTTCTTTTTTCTTTTGTTTTTGCCGAGTTGCGAATGTCGCACAACTTTATCGAATTAGCATATAAATTTGATGGAGTGTGATATACTGTATCATATATATCTATAAATTTCCAAATTTATTCACCCGAATTTATGATCTGTTTGTGAAATACACAGTTTTGCACTTCTGTGTGTACCGAATGAGTTATCCATTTAGTTCAGTTGGATGCCACAAGCTTTTATTACCATTTATTGTAGGTCTATTTAGGTGTGGGACCAGTCCTATTGCTGGTCATTCAAATTGCAACAAACAAAATGATAATAATTTATTAGTAAGGAGCTATTTATGTAGATGCCAAAAAATGGCCACGATTAAGAAAATAAGTATTTTAAAATTAGAAACAAGAGAATATGGGAAAACATAAATAAAAACAATTGACAGATCATTGTCACCTTTACTCTTAATTTCAAGCATGTCGTCGACGTCTTTCTGTTATTTTTTTCTGACTTTTTGAAACTACATCGACTTCTATTTTATTTGGTCTCTGTATATATTGACATACTGTACACACGTAAATATATTACAAGACATATAATTTCTTATGAAAACTGTCTATCCATTCTCAAAATTAAAAAAATATCTATGCACACGTGTGACGTATATTACAAGAGCTTTTTGTACGAAAAAAAGTATCTCAGGAGATTTGACCTCATTTTTTTGTTGATTTTAAGATTTGACCTATTTGTCCAAAACGTTCGACATAAATGACGAAATCTAAAACTCTTTGGTTTAACGATTTGGGGAAGATATTGGCAAACTGAGATATGAGACGTCTTTGGCAACTACTTCTTAACAAATTTTGATCATATATAAAATATTCCATCTCAATATGTTTTGTACGTACATTCATATAAAACTAAATTAACACTCTAAAAAAATTCTTTATAGCGCGAGTTTGATTTCAGATTACAGAAACACATAATGCCTTCTAATGATTAAAATATGACTGTTGCATAAAATGTACCCAAATATAAGTAAACACCATAGAAAAGTTCCGAGATAATTAGTTACGACCAAGTAAATAAGCCAGCCTATAAAATGGCGATATGGTTATGGGTCAGTGAGGTATGCATATGTTGCGAGACTTAGGGAAAATGCCACTAGTTTTGCTCCTAGTAAAACCGTCTAAAAATGATGTGCAATGCGTAATTCTTCTAACAAGTAACAATGATATATTTCTATGCATTGATCCATCACACTTTTGTGTTTCTGAATCTCTCAAACATTAATCAACTCATAACATATGTTTTGGTTTGTTTATTATATGTTTTATTTCTTTTCAATATTCTAATTTTGCGATTTCACCTAATCTCATTTTTCTTTTTAATTCAAATTTATAGTACGTATGCACTTTGAGCAAATTGACCAAGTTCAGCATAACGACTCCGACCTCATTCCATCTTTCTTAACATCTGCCAAGTAATTCCTAAAAAAGTGTCATTTACTAATTTAGTTTTGCGGCCACATGTGAGTTTCGGCCAATTATAATATATTTAGCCAAATGTTTTTCTTCTATGCGACTTGGCTCTGCCTCTTTAGTCCAAATTCCCTTAATAACAGTCCTACTATTTTCAAGCTTGAATTTTTAAATTTAAGTACTATATAATCGATTGCATTATAAGTTTCTTTGTCAACAGTTACAAACTTACAATATGTATCAAGATACTCATCTAGTAAACTCTAACAAAATCTGTAAAACCATGCATGTATTAGCTGACATATGATTTAGCTTTTTTAATTTCCAGAAATGAAGAATTAAAGTTCAAAATTTAAGTAGTGGGTAGCTATATAAGTACAGAACTTTAATATCTTACAACTAAATGAGTTTTCTAATCATTTCATCAACACCTACTATATAACAAATAGAAAACTTGGGAAGTTTAAGGCCAAAGAGGCATTTTTATATTATAGGGGAGTAAAAAGGAAAAGAAGAAAACAAATAAGGTAAAGAGACGTCCCTGTGAAGTAGGGTTAACATGCTTTTCCTCTGATGTCTCTTTCATCAACACCTGTCGGCCTTGTCACTTAAACACGCTCTTCACTCTCCTCTCACACCTCTCTCCTCTTTACCATTTAATCTAATCAACTCGCTAATTTTGATTCTCCACAACGAATTCCAGAGGGTACAAACAATATAAAATAAATCCTCAATGCTCTCTGTCCTTCTTTGAATTTCTTTTCTTTTCTTTTCATTTCCTGTGAATACAACCAATAAAGGTGAAGCCTTTCCTTTCCTCTCACCTGCGATTACCATAAGAAGGAAAGGAAGAGCAAACGAGATACACACACACTTACCTTCTCTCTCCAATTTACAGCCTCGACGACAAACGGTTACTTTCCTTTAACAAACGGCTACTTTTACTCTTTCCTTTTGACCATATAGCCTTCACCGAGAAACTTGAGGAGGATTACAGAGAAGCAGAGCTTTTTGAGAGATAGTGAGATTCCTCTGGCAAAACCCAGATGGAATTCGGAGCTTTTCTTCTGTCCTTAGGGACATCGGCGGTGATCTTCGTCGTTCTCATGCTTCTCTTCACCTGGCTTTCTCGGAGATCCGGAAATGTTTCGATTTATTACCCGAATCGGATCCTTAAAGGGATGGAGCCTTGGGAAGGCGGCTCCTTGACCCGAAACCCTTTTGCTTGGGTCCGTGAAGCTTTTACCTCCTCCGAACAAGATGTCGTTAACTTGTCCGGCGTCGACACTGCCGTCTACTTCGTCTTCTTGAGCACTGGTTCGCTTCTTCTCTCTGTTTCTCTCTCTCTCTGTAGCTTTAGTTTCTTCTTATTACTGTTTCCAATTTTGGGGGTTGATGGATGGATGGATCTCTGCTGAATTTCGTTGCTTCTGGTCTGGGTTTCGAATTTCAGATTAGAAAGTTCCAATCTTTGTTGACAATTGGGGGAAAAAATGTTTCCTTTGAGGATAATTTAATCGTTGGCTCTGAGTGGTTTTGTTTGCTATGTTACTTATGATATCTCTGTTTTACTTTGTCCATATCTGCTTAAAGAAAGTACCTTTTGATCTTTATAAGCTCATTACTTGTAGTTTTGTTGACAGACATTGGGCATTGAAATTAGAACCATTAGACCTAAGTTTTGCCTCGTAAAGTTATGATTTTTATGAGCCTGTGCTTCTGGTGAAGACAAAGTTTCTTTCTGCTGGATATGTTTACTTGTTTAGTGTCTTCTTCAATGCTCAAAAGAAGAGACGAAGTGTATCTGATGTATTGAAATTGGCTTTTTGTTTGAAACAGTATTGGGGATATTTGCTTTGTCCGGTCTACTCATCTTACCGACTCTAGTCCCTTTAGCCGCTACAGACGACAGTATAAAGACCAGTATAAGGAACACGACTGACACCACAAGCGAAGGGACTTTTAGCCAACTTGATAATCTATCAATGGCTAACATCACAGTAAGTAAAATAAACCAGAGACTTCATTCGACTTTTGTTCCCATTCCATTTCAGATTCTAAGCAAGATGTTTATCCTTGTGGTTTTAACAGAAAAGGAGTTCAAGGCTTTGGGCGTTCCTTGGAGCGGTTTACTGGATATCTCTGGTCACATATTTCATGTTGTGGAAAGCGTATAAGCATGTCTCTGCATTGAGAGCTCAAGCTCTCATGTCTACTGAGATAATCCCAGAGCAATTCGCTATTCTTGTTCGTGATATACCTTCCCCACCTAACGGACAGACTCAGAAAGAGTTCATCGATTCTTATTTCCGAGAGATCTACCCTGAGACATTCTACAGATCACTCGTCGTTACAGAAAACAGCAAGGTATTAGCTTGTCCTGACTTGAAAAAGTTTCAATCTTTTCTTCGATTGCCTATGTTGTTTTGAGGTGTTTATGCTTTGCTCTTTGTTGTTGTGTGTAGGTTAATAAGATATGGGGAGATTTGGAAGGTTACAAGAAGAAGCTTGCGCGCGCAGAAGCAATCTTGGCAACGACGAGTAACCGACCCATGAACAAAACCGGCTTTCTTGGGCTAGTTGGGAAAAAAGTAGACAGCATTGAGTATTACACCAAGCTGATCAACGAATCTGTAACCGATCTAGAGGCAGAGCAGAGAGCTGTTCTTGCTGAGAAGCAGCAAACCGCAGCAATTGTTTTCTTCACCAACCGTGTCACTGCCGCTTCAGCAGCTCAGTCTCTACACTGCCAGATGGTTGATAAATGGACAGTCACTGAAGCTCCTGAGCCTCGCCAGCTTATCTGGAACAATCTCAAGATCAAGCTGTTCAGTAGAATCCTCAGGCAGTACGTGATCTACTTCGTCGTTGCAGTAACCATTCTGTTTTACATGATCCCGATCACGTTCGTCTCTGCAATCACTACTCTTAAGAATCTCCAGAAGATTCTTCCTTTCATAAAGCCGATTGTGGACATAGCCTTCATAAGAACCATTCTTGAGTCTTACCTTCCTCAGATTGCTCTCATCGTTTTCTTGATGCTGTTGCCTAAGTTTCTCATGTTCCTTTCCAAAGCTGAAGGGATTCCTTCGCAGAGCCACGCCATTAGAGCTGCCTCGGGCAAGTACTTTTACTTCTCGGTCCTGAATGTCTTCATCGGTGTAACCCTTGCAGGGACTCTGTTCGACACTTTGAAGGAACTTGAAAAGGATCCCAACTCCATCGTTACCGTTTTGGCTACTAGCCTTCCTAAGAGCGCTACTTTCTTCTTGACCTACGTTGCTCTCAAGTAAGCTTTCATTGCCTCTTCCTCTTGACTTGTTTAACATTATACATTGCTCGTTTGGCTCTCTAACTCTTATGTTTCTGAATCTTTTTTAACTTACAGATTCTTTGTCGGTTATGGCCTCGAGCTGTCTCGGATCGTACCTTTGATAATATTCCATATAAAGAAGAAGTATGTCTGCAAAACCGAAGCAGAGGTCAAAGAAGCTTGGTATCCAGGAGACTTGAGCTACGCCACTAGGGTTCCTAGTGACATGCTCATCCTCACAATCACCTTCTGCTATTCCGTAATCGCTCCTCTAATCCTCGTATTTGCCGTCATCTACTTCGGTTTAGGGTGGCTCATCCTCAGGAATCAGGTCAGACTTTCTCCATTAAACACTTAGGGTTTAAAGTTTAAACGCATAATTAGGTGACCTTGATCTGTAAAAACGTGATTCTGATCGGGTGTTTACGGGCTGTGACAGGCGTTGAAAGTGTACGTTCCATCGTACGAGAGCTACGGAAGGATGTGGCCGCATATTCACACACGCATACTAGCGGCATTGTTTCTATTCCAAGTGGTTATGTTTGGTTACTTGGGGGCCAAGATATTCGTTTGGGCGATCCTCGTGGTTCCTCTTGTCGTCATTACTCTTGTTTTCGGGTACGTATGCCGCCAGAAATTCTACAAAGGGTTCCAACACACTGCTCTAGAGGTGGCTTGCCGTGAGCTGAAGCAGAGTCCGGACTTGGAGGAGATTTTCAGATCATACATTCCGCATAGCTTGAGCTCTCACAAACCAGAAGATCACCAGTTTAAAGGCGCAATGTCTCGTTATCAAGACTATGCTGCAATATCAGCCGCTTGAGATTTGAATCCATTTCCTCATTTATCTTCATAGATTTGTTTTGTTGGTTTTTTTTAGAAGTTTTTTTAATTGTTGTGCGTGTGATGTTAGGGTTTGCTTAGGGTCTTCTTTGTGTATGTGTTGTTTGGTTGTTGTAACTTGTAACTTTGTAAGCTACCTTTTTCAATCATCAACATGAATCTGTTTTCATCCTAATGTTGAAATGTTCTAATCAAACTCCCAAAGATAGAAGAAAAGATGTTTCTTGAGATGATCCTTCTGTTGCTATAGCTAGCTATTGCAAATAGAGATTGAAACCGGTTGGTTGATCAGATAACAAGACAAACTATTTAAAATCAATTTAGGATTTCTTTTTCAAGAATCGAGACTTTCAAACGTAGATATCCATGCTTGTGTTTACGCGTAGTAATTAAAATGTAAACCACAAAAACGTATATTTTTTTTTTCTTAAAGCGAAATATCATTTTTTATTGTAGAGGCAAACATAACTGAATTAGTTGGGTACAATAGAAACTTTTTTTTTGTTTTGATAACAAAAAAAGGTTGATACCATTTCACTATACTAAACAAAATATAGGTCAATTAGACGATTGAAACTCGTCAATTCTCTCTCGACATGTTGTTCTTCATCATTTATTTTGTTCTTTTCACTACAACAACCAAGATTTCCTTACACATTATGTCTCCAGATTCCTTCAAAACTTTACACATAATCCTGATGCAGTGTGACTCATGAATTGGCACAAGAGCGATGCAGAACAATTCTACTTATTTGCGGCTCATGTAAGGTTTCTTTCATTTGATTTTTCTTACTTCACAATTTCTTCTTAGGGTTTGAAACATTATTTAATCAGTGACTAATTTGAGAATTTATTTTTAGTTTGATTTTGATTGTCTTGTAACATGTGGTAACAGTTGATACGTACAAACAGGCCAAAAACTGCAGCTTCTGGACTCACAACGATAAGATGGATCTTTTGGCTTCCAATAAGAACATGACACTCTGAATTAAGCGACCAATGATGTAGATTGATGTGGGTGTTTGGGATCATTGTGAAAGGTAATGTTTTTCACATCTATCTATTATTTGTTTAACTAATTGAGATCAAGTTAAGAATGTGAAATTCTTTTACAAATTATGATCCTAGAAAGAGAGGCAACTTTCGCAATACAATGATACCATTAAACGCTAGCCTCTTTTATTGCGAAAACGAGTTTTTACTACCTATGTGCATTGCCGGTACAACAATCTTGAACATTCTAAGCAAATCAAAAAACAAAACCATAAAACTTAGTAAAATAAACCAATTTTAAACAAAAAACCCCAATTTTATAAATGGTTTTTCAACCATAGATGTCTCAATCAATAACATAGCCAACCCATTCAATATTTCCTGTGACATGATTGACAACAAGTAATTCTTAATCAATTTAAACTTCGAAATATATTTCTTTGAGAAATGCCAACTGATACTAGAATAGTTGATATATGTAGGATTTATGCATCATTTTTAGTCCATGCTTTGTAATATTTTCATCCTATTTCATTCTCTTATGAGTTATTGGTAGATGAATTTGTGTAACGAATATAAAATAAAATATAGTTCAAACATATACACTAGACTTTGAACTCAAAAAAAAAAAAACAGATACAATATACATTACTGTCACAACTTGATGTCTTGATCCATGTTGTAATAAAAATTCACGAAGACAAAAGATTCAAGAAAACGAATAAATGGAATGGCAAAAAAAAAATTTCATATGCTATAAATCGGTTTAGGTCCCGTCCATAACGGAGAAGGAATGTCTTCAGGGGCACGGACAGGCTTCACCCACCGGCCGGTCTGTTTGTTGAGGATCAGACCTTTATGTGCCACTTGGTACCAACACTCAGGTATTCTTAAATGATCCAACAACATATCTGTGCTCTTGTTCACAGACGCAACGTCTCTCCTGGCATTAACCCTAAACCCTGATTTCTTGCGGTGGAAGCCATCCAAAACATGGAGATACACCTCGAGGTTATGACACCCTGCTAAGTCCGAATCCTGTTTGATGTACGGCGAACTGAATACATCGAGCTTAAGCTGCGTTCCGACGTGTCTGTAGACCCAAGTGAGCCTCGAAGTTATGGGGTTGAGTTTGTTTAAAACCTTGTTGAACACGATACCAGGAAGCTTAGGGACAATGTCTTGTTTGTTCACCACACGTAACACCTTAACACCTAAACTGTTTAGCCTTTCCTTGAACGCCAAGTTACCTACTCTCGGCGCACCAAACGAGATCACAGAAACGTTACCAGATAACTCCGGAACATCTCTCGCCGCCTCGTAAGCGTTCATAAGCGCCAACGCGCCTCCAAGGCTATGACCGGTCACGGTTAGGCTCACCTCTTCGCCTCTATCCTTAAAAAAGTTCACTAGCCGCTTTACTTCCTCCATTGTCTGCTCGGCTGCACTTTCTTTATTGTACCTTGTGAGTTCGCTTTTCGAGTTGTAGATGCTGAAGAACCCGCTTTGGACCTTGACCACGTTCTTGCCATGTTCTCCTTCACAATCGAACGGCTCTTTACTCGTTCTAAGATCCATGAACCATTCCGTAGGAGTCACGGTTCCACGCCACGCCACAACAATGTCTCTCCGACCGATCCTCGACGACTCTCTGTCTCCACTCACAGCAACAAACCCCATCCAGTTAGAATCTTTGCTCCATGTCTCTCCCACAGCTGAGCTTAAGAACCACTGAGGAACATCGACATGAGACATGGCGTAGATGTATTTGGTGACCTTGTAACCATGTCTTGTTAAACCAAGTTCCTCAAAGAGTTTGTTCCTGTTGTATCTACTGCTTCCGCAGAATTCAGATAAAGGATCGAAATCAAGTGAATCGTAGACTGCTTCCACGAATTCTCCATATTTGGTTATTTCTCTCCTCAGCCATGGATGTAGAGGATCAAGAAGATTCTCCCAATTTTTGGAACCGTGAAGCTCACGCCACATTTCGGATACGTTTTCCCTTGGAGACGCAGCCGGAGTCATCAGATCGCCCTGGTCTAGGAAATCCGCAGCTGAGTATTTCGGAAGCTGAAATAGATACGCCAGAGACTTTGTCGAGTCGTTGGTGATCTTGCAAATTTTCCGAGCCACTTGGGCTAATTCTTGTTCTTGATTTTGTGATTGAACGTGTGTAAGGCGTTTCTTGGTTGACAAGAAACCCGGAAGATGTGACCTGACCCGGATCTTGATAGACTTCCATGCAAGCTTCAGCTTCTGCTTCAATCTCCAGACCCGTTTTGTTCTTCTTCTTCTTAGCTTTCTCAATGGTGTTTTGACCAGCGACTTCTCCATTTCTAAGTTTATTGATCAAGTTGATGAAGATGATGATTGATGATGATGATAAAGCTTGTGGTGTCTTGTAGCAAGAAGGATCGATGTGCTTTGGAATTGATCTTTTTGTGTTATATATATGAAGATATTGTAGACTAGATACGACCACACGCGCCTATGTAATTTCTGGGAAGATTCTCAAATGCATAGTCGAAGAATAAATGTTTTGACCCGATCCATTTTATCATTACATTGTTCGGTACGGAAGTTGATTGCCGGTTTAGTTTTTCTATGTGAGTAAGCGTAAGTGTTTGCTCATAGGATCAGAAACTCGGTTCAGCTGAACCAGATCCAACAACTCAGAGATCATCAAACTAGTCTTCTAAATCTTATTCTCTTGTAACCGATTGTTTTATGTAAAAAACACATCTCTAGTTTTCTCTATATGGTTGGTCAAAACTCAAAAGTAGTAATAATTCGCCATGTTGACATTTTCTTTCAATTTATTCTTTGGTGGCTTGAGGATATAATAAGCACGGCTGCTCTGTAGACTATATATACATACAAGAAGAAGAGTCTACTGTGTCGGCTTTTGCGTTAGGTTATATAAATCCAATTTTCCTCCTAACCACGGGTCCACTTTGATGATTTGCAACTTGATTATAATTTATAAACATTCTGTATTCCTAAATCTGGATCGGAACATTCAGATAAAGAAGAACACAAATATCTCAACATTGCATTAGAATGGGATTTTAGACCAACCGGATTGGTCTTTGGATTTTCGGTAAAATTAATCTTTAATTTTAGATTTTCCGGAGTTAAACTTAGTTTTTGTTTAACATCATAATACAACTATATTGGACTTTCGTTTTAATTACAATGTGGAGTGGAGTACAAGTGATTAAATAAGTTGATTGTGGATTATAATTTTTACGTAATATTAAAAAGAATAGAAGAAAACCGGTTGACCGTATCCACAAGAGGATAGAGAATTGACTAAGCTTGAAAGTGTTGTTCTTCACGCAAGTTCGTCCACACGTCAATGACTCAATGATATGTATGATATCATTTGAGTCTTGAAAATTTACGAAAGTACCACTAGCCCTAGAGTACACACTAGCCACTAATGTGTTGTTAACTTGTTATGGTAGACATTATAGTTGTTTCGACGGCAATTTTGGTATCTGTGTATGAATAAGTCACATTTTTTAATGTTATACTAGTTAAAAAAATGTTTGAATTGATGTTGAATGGTAACACGGTGAATTGTCACACTATCTAAAGGCACGGCGACATCTCAAATTACACGTTCTCACATCTAAACGTTAATGCAAACACAAACAACAATCGCCCTCAATAAACACCACCTTACCAATATCATCAGAACATAAAGCCCATGAAAGTTAAATGGGCCTACACAGAAACCCAAATAAGAAAGGTTCACTATATTTAGTAGAAAAATCTGAGATGTGATATGACACGACAGCCTTATCCAGAGTTAAAACTGCCAATAGCCACTCGACAAGTCAGCAGGAAATAATCAAAACAGAATCCATTTCTGTGATCGCCAAAGCCACAAGATGATCCTTGGCTAAATCATTTTAAAGACAATAAGAAGAAAAACTGATAAAATCGGTACAACCGCAGAAGAAAAGAAAAGTTTTTACC